ATGACCTAATTTAAGTAGGGTCAACGTAACTTCGATCGATTAGCATGAATCTTTTTAACACATGTTACGTGTGTGTGTGTGTGGGGGGGGGGGGTCCATGAAGTAATTGTAGGAACTGAATTTTACAGCGTCCCTCAACACACCAGAGTGACATGTTCCTTGAGATCATCGTCAGGCAAGTGAGAGAAAAAGGAAATAGTTGTTAGTATTAACTCAGTTTGTCTGTCATTCTGTCTGTCTGTGTAGATTCTTTTGCACCTTGTTCACTTACTTCCTATTTATCAGATCAAGTTACAACTTCACATTGTAATTTATTTGTCGATGACAAGATATGAATCAGTCAAAAAAATGTACATATTAGTCAGTCAATTAGTGGTGATTGGTGTATTTATTTTTATAGAGAAAAGGAGAGATAAACTTGCAATATCGAGAGATATGGCCGCACTTAAACAGTGCGCTGCCATCATTCAATAAAGGTTGTTTTTTTTAGCTTTATATTTTGTTAGTTTTTTTTTTTAAAGAAATAATGCTGGATCTTGTCTAGATGAAAGAAATGGAAGACGGGACGCAAAAAGCAAGATTCGAACCCACGATTTCTCGATGCTAATTACTTTAAGCAACGCTACAATTTAGAGTACAAGTTGCTATAGATTAAAACATCAATCTACTCTAGGCCGCCGTGAGGGGTGTGTGTCAATGTGTCAAGCAGTATAACATTTAAGCCAAGGTTCTTTTGTGTCGGGCTGAACATTTAGTAGAATACCGAATGCTACTCGAAAGGTGGTAAAAAAAATATTGACCAAATATTCTGTGTAGATCTCCTATTGATAACTCTTTTATTTCTTATATTTTAAATTAGATTGAAAAAAAATCTAATGAAATATCTTTTTTCCTTCAAAAGTTTTAGTGGCACTTAATTGCATATTTAAAAAAAACAACTTCTGCCTGAATGGCTGCCTGGTCGTGTGGTATGCGCTCTGGATTGTCATTTGGTGGCCTCGATGGTCTCGGGATCGAACCCTGGCTGTTGCCATCCCCGGCTCGGGCTAGGATGTAATTATCGTCAAATCCGAAGGAACATCTGAAAAGCAAAACGAACATTTCACAAACAAACTTCATAGAGTAATTGTAAAGTTACTGGAGTAATTGTAAAGTTACTGGAGTAATTGTAAAGTTACTGGAGTAATTGTAAAGTTACTGGAGTAATTGTAAAGTTACTGGAGTAATTGTAAAGTTACTGGAGTAATTGTAAAGTTACTGGAGTAATTGTAAAGTTACTGGAGCATTCATTAACTTGTAGCGTCTCACAAGAGAAACAAGCAAATTATAAGATACTCAATAAAACAAAACTTTTCCAAGGGGGAGAATTCTGTATTCACTACTATATATTTCTCAATGTAGAATTTATTTCCCTTTTTCGATAGTAAACAAAAAAATTAATTACCAGTGATTGTTTGACTAATTAGTTAATTTTTAACTCATTTAAGTTTTATATTAGGTACAATGAATAATTGTGTACAATTTCGTACAGTTTCAACTTAATCCGATAATGGATATAGGAAAAAAAACGTGTACAATTATTAGGGGATAAAACCTAAATATTTACCCATATCTCTTAATATTAAAGGATTAATTTCCCTTTATGATAACAAACGGTTGCAAATAAAGTACCAGTAATTAATTGACGAATCGGTTAATTAAAAAAAAATATATTCATGCTTTTTTGGGCACAATAAACAATGGACTAAAGTTTTAACTTGAATAGGTGTGGGAAAAAATAACGCGTTCAAAATTTGTACCAGACAGACAGACAGACAGGCTGAGCTGATATAAGCTTTGAATAAAAAGTTTGAATGTCTTACGCTAGATGGTAACCACAGAAGTTCGATGTAATCGAATACAGAAGGAAATACAAAGAGGGACTTTCATGCATCTCTGAATACTTGTAATGAACAATCTACTTTCATGGACTATCAAAATGCACATATTAGACGTAGTCACATGATAGCCATGAGATACATTTCTCGAACAAAAATCGTTTCAATGTTTTTCAAGCACTCACTGGCAATCACTTTACTTCCTCTCTGCAAATTCAGATAAATGGCAGAATTGTGGTATTTATAAAAGTCTTGATAAATCTCACCCCACTCCATCTTTGACTGAACCAGGCTCACTTTAGATGCTCGGCGAATGAAAATCTACTTCCATATAATTATAAATTGTAATACCATATTTCAAAAGTCGTAGCCGTTTGACTATACTGGCTGCCTGAGCCAGCCAGGAAAACCAGTGACTTGGTAGAATTAAAGTCATTGGTTAACATGCATGACTAGATACATGACGTTAAGACGTAATTATCTTTTTTTTTGAAGTAACGTCTGTATTATATAAGATAAAATACTGGCTAGTTAACTATTAGTCACGTGTTAGGGTCCAGGGCCGGCCTTATGCAGATTTTACAAATTTCACCGAATTGAAACCCACAATATACATTTAGCATATCACTATCAGTCATGGCTCTTGTCACGGGCTTTAAAAGATGCAGGACTTAAAGGGTTAACATATTTAATGTATCAATCGATTGACATAATTTTAATTTACCCACTTGTGCATATTGATTTTGAGTTACTTCCTATGAAGATGTAATTAATAGTAATAGTTGCTATAGCAAACAAATTTTAGAAGATGGGCCTCGAAAGCATCCATTCCATTGGTCGTAAGGGCGGCCCTGCTGTCAACAATAATCCCCAACCATCCAGCCGTGTTGGAGAATATACATTTTATATAAAAATAATAATTACAATTATAGTATTTGAAACTGTCAGTAGCGTTTAGCCACAGACTATTGAGACTCTAGAGTCTAGACCATCTAAAGCGAACAATAGCTCCCTCTCACCGGCCTGATTGAACAGTGTGTTCCGACGAACTGGCGCCTGGATTGTTGACGAGGTCTTAGGAGCTCTTTTGCAACAGATCTATTTGGAATACTCTTCGCACTTCTTAGGCATTCTCACGGGAGTTTTGTTTCGCTACCCACTAGACCTAGCTGTTTCCTTTCAAACCGTTTCCACCCGGGTGTCACTATGAGGCATGCCCGGGAATAACGATAGTAAGGCTCGTCTTTGAGTCCGAAGATTTGTTTTACCACATCCAGTGCAGGCATCACCATTGTCCGGCAGTGGTCGATTTAGCTTCTCTTTTCACCGTCTACGTCTGTCCTCGGCAATTTGTTTTGGTCTCAAATATGTGTCCCTCGGCCTGTATTTTAAAAGCATTAACCTTTTTTTTTAATTTCAATGAGAGATGTCTATGCCACAGCTATATATATAAGACCGATGGGATTGTAAACAGTATCAGAACGTCAATTAGGCTCCACGGTGAACTGCTGAACACTGTAAAAAAAAAACCCGCAAAACTTTATGACAATTCCTCTAAAGCCTAAGGGCTCGCAAAGACCTTCCTACAGGGAACAGTACCGGGAATAAGAAGAAGACAACATGAAAGAATCGACGGGCCTGTCATTGAAAGAGATTCTATTCAAGCAAATGATAATGAGGAATGGAGAAAGACGGTCGACATATCACATGTCGTGCCCCAGAGGTTCAACAGACTAAGTCACTAAGTAATCAGTGAAAGTAACAGTTCCATTAGAGACTAGTTCAATGGTATACACGTTTGTGAACATTCTAAAATTAGAATAGAGCATAGAATGGAAAGTTCTTCTTTCAGGCTTTAAGCGTAATGAACCAGAAGCTTGCCCCCCTCCTATCTGCTTTATCTATATCTCCCAATCCCCCTTTCCGGCCTGTGATTTCTCTGTGTTCATTTCCCTGGTAAATTATTTATTTATAGTAAAAAAGCGGGATAATAATTTAACGATTTTTTTAAAATTCAATAGTTAATACCATTGAAATAACTGACCACTTCTTTGAATATTAATTTTTTTCAAAATACTTTTTTAAAAACAAAGCTTTCACTAGGCAAAGTTGTATGAATTAGTTTGGAAAAGTCATGTAATTAAATTTGTAATAGATCTAGACTAGCAATAATAAATCTGTGCGATTAGAAATGTTTTTACCAATTGCTTTTAGCTTATACCACATCAGTCAAGTACAATTTCTTTCCCTTGTTTGAGATACCAAACATAATAATTAATTACCAAGTGATAATTAACTAATTTTCTTATTTGTTTTTATTGATGTCAGGCAAAAGAAAAAATCGCGCAAAAATTCAGCTTGATCCGAGATTGGGTGTGGGAGAAATAACGTGTTCAAACTTTCCACCAGACAGGCAGAGTGAGTTGATACAAGCTTTGTAAAAAGGCACTCATACATTCTCAAGCATGATAACGCTTCATGTAGTGACTTTGCTTTGCGCAACTCTTTCAGACACTGACCTATAGAAAATCATGCCCACTCACTCTGAGATAACGTTCACATTTTAACATTCTACATAATGACAATCATGATTGTCAAATTTTACATTCAATCCAATAAGAACTAACCATACAAGAACATAAAAACCTATTTAAAAACCACAAATATAATAAAATTGGCGACCAGTTTGTAGTAATTGCAGATCAAAAACAAATTGCAGAGACTACCTCAAGATTTGGAAATCCCAGTCGGTGATTTTTTTTTCTCTTTTTGGGATACAAGCTAAGGATTTAAATGTTTCTAAACATTCGGTGTTCGGTCATTCCCCCGCCCCCCCCCCCCCAACCAACAACTCATTTGAAGTGAGTATAACAAGATAAGAACTTTGAACAGATTGAATGAGCAAGTTATTTATAATATTCAATGTATTAAGGTCACAGAACTAAGATTACAAATTGACTTCGAAACAGAAAATGTCATTGAAATGTGTAGAAATAAAAAATATGGAAACTTGTATATTTATATTGATATTATGGTTAAAACATGACCAGCAAATGAATAAATAAATATATTTAAACATTTTATAAATTAATAAAATAAATAAATATTAACAAATTTAAATAAAGAAATTTCCAAATGTAACACATTGAAATAAGAACACGAGGAAGTATAATTAATAACAGACGAGTAAAAAATGAAAATAATATATCTGAGCATGTCATTTTGTACACATGTATATGTGTGTATGTGTGTGTGTAAGTGTGTGTGTTGGTGTGGTATGTGCTGTTGAGAGACTTAGACCACTTGGCCTTCTACCCCCCCCCCCCCCCCCACATGCTATAAGAATGCAACGTACAAGAGATATAATATATATATATATATATAATTGTATATAATTGTATATATTGTATAAAGAATTGATAAGGGTATTGACTAGCGAAAACAATGTGTAAATTATTTCATGCCAGCACAGATAAATCGATTCACTAGCTATAAAAATCGGATTCTAGCTTTACATTATGTACAGACGTTGTAATGGTCTACTGAACATCTTTTCTATACAGTATACACTGTGTCGATGAAAGGTAATCAATAGGTTGTCCTAGTCATTGTCAAGATTTTAAGATCTTTAAGTATATATAGGAGGTGAAGTTGGCTGACGAGGGTGTCATGTGACCATTTTTGCAGAAATATATAATAATATTTGATGTCACACTAAGATGTTGACAAGGTTACGTTAACTTGATTGATATAGACTTAACATCTGATATATAAATACGGTTACACAACATTGACATGATAGTCATCCATGACGTCATAAGCAACGTGTATACGTACACAAGTACACATTTTAAAATTATAAGGCCATTATAAGTGACACGTCATTAAAATCTGTATATTTACATATACAGTTGATTGAAACTTCGCAAAAAAAAAACTCACAATATTTTGAAGACCAAACATAGCATCAAATGGTTGGTTTGTAATGGAAGGCATAGAAAAAAACAGCAACGAACAAACATATAACATAATCATTAATTTACATATGGTAAAATAAGTTAGTGTTAAACAAAATACAAAATAGTACTTCAAATGGATATATGTTTATAGCGAATTTCTTTCACAATAGCAAACATTTTCAATGTTTAGATACACAAAAATTGTGCTTAATGCTGTATGAAGTTTATTTTTTCATGAAGATTTAATGTGGAAGGGATTTTCTTTAGGAAAAAAAAGGGGGTGGGTTGATATCTTTTTGTGTTTAATGTGTATTCACACGATTCTATGTTCACTATCACTTTGCAAGGTAATATATAAGGCTTGCATTACGATTTCATACAGGCTATTCACACATTTTTAAAAATTTATTGAATAACTACACATGCTATTCACGTACTTGGTCATTGAAGGTCGTTTAAAATGCATTAAATAAGATTTTCTACACATATTGTCTGCTAGGGTTATGGTTAAAGCTATGTTTGTATTTAATTAAAAGTGTAGTTTATACCTGGCAGTGAGTTCACTATTCTGTGTTGTTATTTATTTTTTAGGTTCTTCTGGGTATTTTGTCTTTCTTTCGAATCATTCTCACTTCTGCAATTCTTTCTATGACTACTGTATTCTTTGGATTCAACGTTTCAAGTCTTTCTAACTATTTGACATTATCTCTCCAATTCTTTCTATCAGTCATCTTCTCTGACATCTTTTCTCCAATTCTTTCTATCACTGTCATCTTCTCTGACATCTTTTCTCCAATTCTTTCTATCAGTCATCTTCTCTGACATCTTTTCTCCAATTCTTTCTATCACTATCATCTTCTCTGGCATCTTTTCTCCAATTCTTTCTATCACTGCTATCTTCTCTGGCATCTTTTCTCCAATTCTTTCTATCACTGCTATCTTCCCGGATATTTCTCCAATTCTTTCTATCACTGCTATCTTCTCTGGCATCTTTTCTCCAATTCTTTCTATCACTGCTATCTTCCCGGATATTTCTCCAATTCTTTCTATCACTGCTATCTTCCCGGACATGTATCCAACTCTGTCTTTCATAATCTATCTCTCTGAGTTGTCTCCAATTAGGTCTGTCACTCCTGTCTCGCTCATGTACCATCAGTGTGTCTCTCCAGTTCAGTGGATCACTTTCATTGGTCTGTTGATTTCGTGACATTGAAACTCCTGCCACATCCTGATGTTCGAGCTTGACATTCTCTCTTTCACGACTGACTCTGAATTAAAAAAACAATTTTAGAAATTATTATTTGTTATTTATGATATTAAATCATAATTAAATATTGTAAACATGTCTAAACAAGTAAAAAATGTTATGAAAATACATTTTCTTTAACGAGCTAGCATGCATGGGCTGCCTGAATTAGCCAGAAAAACCAAAGACATAGATGAGTGTTTTAGTGACGTCTTGTTTCAGGATTTCAGTCATGGAAAGGCTTATTGTAAGACTAAACTCCTGACATGCAGTTGCCAAAGCCTTTACCAGCATCAACGAAAGTATGTGAGAGGAGACAGCCCAAGACCAGACAGCATCGAGACAGACTGTGCATGCTAGTACGAACATCGTAGAGAAGAAAAAAAACGAAGCTGTCTTAGTCAGGAGAAAGATAAAGAAAGTTGCCCTGTCAGTTAGCCCTAAAACAGATGCACGAAATTGCTGCTCTAGAATTGACTTGATGAGTCACATCAGATTCTGCCCCGTCTCAAGACGAAACTAAAACCAGTGACTCTCCTTGTCGTATCCATCGTCTTAAGAGACAGAAGGAGTCATATATTGTGCAAATTGTGCATTGCACGCAGGCGGCCGACTTTAAAAAAAAATTAGGTAAATAAAAAAAAAAGTTTAAATATTTTATACTAATTCTATTTATTACATTACCATTGAAAATATAAGCGATATTCGTGCATGAGAAATTATTTCGGAAACTAGAAACAAAAAAAATAGAGCAGCGTTCGAGGAGTTCCCATGGGTTTTTTCCATAGGCGCCTGCTCATTTCTGGCCTTGAATTTTCGTGGGTTGTTTGTAATATTTGTTTTAAGTCGAGTAGCCCGCACTGTAAGAAGATCTATTACTGATAATTAAAAAGTCAATTTGAAAAATATATTCACTGGTGGAGTGGGGGGAGGGCGCAACGTCCTGATAAAAATGAGTGTTATGGAGTGTGTGTGTTTCTTAGACGGCGGTAAGAAGAGTTTAAGTGATTGATTGGTGGTTATGAAAGAGTAAGGACTTTATTTTTGCTGTGAGCTAAATTTTGTTTAGGCCTAAATATCAGTTTATTTCATTACTATTAGTTCTATATTTTATCTCAAGTTAAATCGTAAATAATAACAATTGTATCGAGTTTTTGTTCACAAATAATTTGTTTAAGTTATTTAAAGTTTAGTTATTTAAAAAAAACTTACATCGGTTCAGTTGTACTAGCTGTCTTGAGCTACAAGCCAACAACCAACCAAAAACGGGATTGGGGGGGGGGGGGGCGGCGAAAAAATTTCAGACCTTAGACTTGACCAGAAACATGCCGTAACTTTAACTCCAGGAAGTACTTTTTTTTTAAAACGCTTAAAAATTATAGTGAGCTTTCATGACTTTAATTGGAATGGAATTTTTTTCTAAAGGAAAAAAAAAAGGGGGGGAGGGCGGCATTTTTAATTTTGCACACAGGCGGCCACAACCCTCGCGGCGGCCCTATATATATATATATATAAATATGTTGTGACACGGTTACTATGTGGTGTGGTCAACCGTGACACACGGTCAAGTGTTGGGTATCGGAGAGTTAGGGGACTTGAGGGAAGTGACGAGGGACTTAAGAGAAGTTGTCGATATGCAGAAGGAAGTCATCTAGTGGAGTTGGTTATCTGTAGATAATGTTAGCCTTGTAAATATGTTATGTTTGAATGCTTCACAATAAAAGGCAGTTTATACTTAAAGGGACTGGTTTCTTCACAATATATATATATCTGTGTGTGTGTGTATAATACATTGTGTCTTATAAATTATTAAAGTTGCTACAAAAGAGAAGATAACTACGTCCTACGTATATATATATAATTTATAAGACGAAATGTATTTTAATAAGGAAATATTGACAAGAGAACTTATTCATTCGAATACAATTATCTGGACGTATATGTGGTCGAGATAACAAAGGAAAGTTTCTTTGTACTATTTACTACTTACTATTCCAGTGATGTCTTTAAAATGTACTGACCTTACTCTGTTTGAATTGTCTGTACTAATACTTCTCATTGCGTTGAGGCGTGATCTCGGCCTCACTAAAGCCTCCTTACTTTCTGTTCTACGTGTTTCACTCTGGTCTCTCCTGGGAGAAGAAAAGATTGATCAAACAATATAGAAGAATTAACTGACTCGATTAATACTAAAAACACTAAAATGGTAAAAAATTAAACTAGTTTCGTTTTTTTCTAATGGTTTATCTCTCAGGACCTTTCAGACATTTACACATAGGGCTTGTCGAAAACGTAAAAAGTAAACAAAATTAATATAAAAATTCAAATCTCCAGAAGCTGTTTTAACAAGTATATTATTTCATTCTTCTTAACAATAGTGTATCTTCCTCCTCCTACCACATAGTTGTAGTAGTCAAACACATTTTTAAAAATTTAACATACGTGGCCAGACTTCACCGGTTCTATGTAAATATTTAGGCAACTAGTTATTCTCAGTGTGAATTGACTTATTTAATGCAACTTAACGCCTGACGCCCATTGAGCCATATTCTTTCTATAAGGAAGTAAAATAACGCAACCTTAGCAGCATTAGACATTGATTCACAGATATACTCAATGTATTACTTTAATGCCACCAAATCCTCTAAGCGCATAGTTCTAGTTCGTCTACTCTGATTCAATGTCCTGTTTTGAGAAGTCCTACTCTGGGGCAATGTCCTGTCCTGAGAGTCATTCGGTATCATACGACTTCCTGGTCTACTGGTGCTTCTACCAAAATAAGGAGAGAAAAAAATACAACCAATATATGTTTGTTAAAAGACTTAGAACTATCAGAACATAATAAATAACATTTAGACTTCAACAAAAACGTAGCATTGAAAATGATCAAAAAATGTAAGCAAAACAAACATACAAAGAGAAGCCTGGACTACTCATCAAAAGAGTCCATGTGGTTAATATTGGGTACAATTAAAATGGAATTTTTTAGTACCTTCGATCCCTAAGGGTTTCATTTTTTACAGAACTGGTTTCGTCCTTGGTTTTCTCAGTTTTATTGCGCTCGATAGAACTGCGTCTACTTCTGAAATGCAAGAAAAGATTAATAGTAAATATTCTATCAAA